TTAATAAAATTATTTTAAGGAAAGAATCTTTTTGATCATATTTGAATAGGAAATGTATATATGCAAGCAATTAATGCATAGAGTAAAAAATTTCTAAATAAAGTATGCATTAAATGTGAGTTGACTTTTTTTGCTACTATTTTTGGTAAATAGTATGACTTTTAATATAAGTATAGATGAAGACGGCGATTTGACGAAAACGCCCCGGGGCTTTAAGTTGAATAATCTATTTGTACACTCTGAATGAGTCCCATTTCACATTTGTTAAGCTTGTAATAGAAATATAACTAAGCTATTTTTTTTTTTTTAGCCAGCCACGTATCGGAATATTTCCCCGATTAATTAATTGGTCGACCGAGTTCATGGTTTAAAATTTTTAGTTTCTATGGAATATTTGAATTCGAAATCAGATGTAATAGTTTGTAAACAAGATTTACATGAATTCGAACCAAAGAACTCATATTCAATTTATTAACACTAATTATATAAAATGCCGGCATTTATATAAATGTATTGAACACAAATATATTTTTGCATTAAATGTATTTCTTAAAATAATTTTCAAATCAAATATAACTAATCATATTAAATGAAATGTTAATCACATTAATTTCCACATGAAATCAAATATAAATACTTGAATAGTAAATCAAATACAAATACAACGAATTAAAAAGTTGAATATTCAATTCGATTCGTTTACCTTCTATTTTTGCTCAAACTTTTTGTTAGGAATATGATACGATCCCGTTACGGAACCATTTTGTCGATGTTTGTAATCGTTAGATCAACTATCTCTGACGTTTACATGATGATCTAACGGTCAGAAACTCCGACGAAATGGTTCCGTAACGGGACCTTAGCATTTCCCACTTTTTGTATATCTGCACTCTAAAACTGATGATTATATCCTTCAACACAAGCAAATAAAAGGCAAAAAGAGTATGAAATCATAATCTCAAAAGTATTGTACAAGAGTTTCTAAAAAAAATAATACTTAGCAAAATACACTCACTTAATGGATCCATCATCTACAAACTAAACCAAACCCAATTTCACTAAATCAAATGCACCCAAACCAAAAATTATTTACTATATCCATCTGCAATTCGAATGTTTGATCATCCTGCATTAACTTTCTCTAACATCATCAACCAATCCATAATTGTCTGACTGTGCAAGAATGTGAGACGGCCAAGAGTCGGAAGAAGAAGGGTAACGTGCACGTGGCTTGCTCACATTTGCCGGAGCCTTACAAACATTCGCCTCAGTAAAAGGGACTGAAAAGACTTGCGATTCATGAGCTGCTAACGGCATGACGATTAGAGGTGGGCCCACAGCAGGGGCCGAGTGATCTTCTGTTAGTTTCAGGGGAAATTTGCCAGAAAGACCCGAGTCTTCTTCACAATTGGCCCGCTCGTTTATTTCTTTCTGAAGCTTCTTGATTTGTGCATCTAGAGTTGAAGTTTCTTCTTGGAGTTCATCCCTCTCAGCTGTAACCTGGAATTTCAATGGGTATTCACGACTCAAAGAGCATTAAGGCTGTGTTTGGTAACCAAATAAGATTATTTGGTTAGGTTATAAGTTTCTTGTATTCAAATAAAGTTTGTTTGGTAGGATGAGTTTTTTTAAAAAGTTCAAGCTTATCTCATAAGTTTGTTTGGATAATTTTTCAAATAAACTCGTTGAAATTTTTATTTCAGCTATAGCGAGCATTTTTATCATATAAGCTAGTTTTTCAACTATAAGTCATAAACAATAAGTTATAAACTCGAAAATCACTCGTAAGCTATCAGCTAGATTGACTAAACATAACCTAAGCATTCGAGCAGGGGTAAAAACTCATAGTTACAAATAAAGTGATTTATCGTTGGGAATCAGAAGAGAGTTGTGTCTGCAAATGTAAACTACAATTGAATCGAGTAAAAGACTGTATTATCCGACAAATAAGTCAAGAAGAGTGCCGAGAAGTAAAAAATGTATACTTGTTTTATTTGACTTTGTGATCAGTCAACAAGTCCCGAATACATTTATGAGGGCTCCAAGTCTTATTATAATATCGGTTTTTGTAAATTATCCGAATTTCCCTGCACGGTTCTACTGAATTTCGATATAATGAAACTAAAGAGGAAGCAGAAAATTAAGAAAAAAACAGACTGCTACAAAACTCATTTGGCTAACTAATATCATGCAGTAGCTCCTAAAACAAGCAGATAAAAAACATGTACTAACTCGACACTCCACCAATTTCACAAGGAATTGAAACTGGAAGTTAACAAATCTTACATAATTACATTCGGAGAAAAGCGTCACGTTTTCCTTTTTCAGACTTTCCACCTGAGCTAGCAACTCCCCAACGAGTCTAATCGTCTCTCTTAGTATAGAAGCCTTTCCATTACTCATATGATCAAGATCTGTTAAAGATCACAAAACATCCATCAATTTAATCAGTTCCACATCATCAAGCAAAATGGTTGGTCAAAATTCAATCTTTTTGTTTACCCAAATTTTTTTTTTTTTTTACCACTGATCACATACCAAGTGTTCTTCCAAGATCCGTAAACAGCTCATTCATCCGGTCGCGTTTAAGCTTCTCCCTCGCGGCTTTATGAATTTTCCTTGTAATTTTCCCAGGATTCGTTCTCCTAGGACACAACAATCGAAATCAAGACAATGGGTTTTCAAACAGAAGTACTGTTAATTAAAGGGGAAATGCTAAGGTCCCGTTACGGAACCATTCCGCGGGGTTTGTAACCGTTAGATCATCATGTAACCGTCAGAGATAGTTGATCTAAAGTTACAAACCCCGATGGAATGGTTCCGTAACGGGACCTTAGCATCTTCCTAAAGATTTACATTAGCCCAAATCAGATGAGGAGCCCAAATGAAAAACTGAAACAATTCAACTAGTTCAAGCACCATTGATAGTTGTATAATGATATAATCCCAACCAAAACACACACAGACACACATGTATTTAATGAACAATCTTCTTCCTCATCTGATCTCTTCTGTGGTTTATGCAGCTAACAAAAAATCAAGACACCCAAAAAAACTCAAGAATTACACAAACTTAGGGCACATCACACCATACAATTTTGGAGGAAAATCGAGCTTGAAACATAAAGAACAGCACAATAAACCAATCAATCAAAATACAACGAAATAACGAACCAACCTCGGAGACTCCTTCACGCAGTCGTCGACCTGTTCATCAGTTTCAGAGCCCATATCTATATATCTCACAAGAACCAGAAAAAAAATGAAAAATGAAAAAGGGCTAGTGCAATTTGGCGTAAAATGGAGAAAAACCACAAACCCCACAAAAAATCCAGAGCTCGATTGAACTTGTGCAGTAGAATTAAATGGTTAACTTGATCGGTGTAAACTGTGTGAAGAAAGGTGAGGGGCACGCGTCGGCGTGTGGCCGGAGCAAGCACCGCATGAGCGCGTCACGGGGTCAAATGGAACTAAAGTTACCATGTTGCCCTTGGAAGGTTCGTGCGTCTCGTCGGTTGAATGCGATTGGTACGTTGTAAATAAGTACATTTAAGGAGGGTAAATTCGGGTATTCAAGAGCAGTAGAAAAATGACGCGTGTGGGCTGACTTTGGTCGAAAGCAGCGAGACCACGTGAACGTTCTTTGTGAAGCATAAAAAAGTTGATGGAATTGGAAATCCGGGACCGGTTCAAGACAAACCGGTGAGGCCCTCATTGGTTATAAGTTATTCGGTCACATTTGATCGTATAATTATTTTAACTCGAAATCTAATTCAAATGTAATTTCATTCAACGAAATTATTAATATAATTAAATAATATTAATTAATTATCTGTCCATATTACATCAATTTTAATTAATCATTCATACATTCACGTAATTTTAACTAACAATCACTTCCAATCAATTTTCTCATACTTTTGAGTGTTACATCAAATCAACTTCAACCAATATTATATGTTATTTTAACACGAACGCAAATCATACTCAAACCTAACTCACATTAGTTTTTTTTTTTCAAGTTAGCTTTGATTTTCAAAAAATTAATTAAAACAAAAATAACTCGTGCGTGTGCGCGTAACGCAAGTTCAATTTGAATATTTTTTTTCGGTACCATGAAGGAAGCCAAAAGCTTAGAAGTTCGGTTAGATTAGAATGCGTCGGAGGTAAGAAACCCCCATAAGATCGTGATCAAGCCAATGTCCTAAACCTTCAGGAGGGTCCGCTACACGTTGGAGACCAATCGAAAAAGCCGGCGCCAAACTCGCCATGTGATTCGCCGTAAAATTAGTTTCTATATGCACGTAATTCAATTTGAATATTAACTTTAAATGTTGACTCACCACGCACTTAGAATAAAAAAAATTATATATATATATGTGATTTCGTGTTTGGCAATGTGTATAAAGGTTGAAAAGTCTATGGAACAGTCCCTAAACACTAAAATTAGGCCTAAACAATCTAATAATGTCAAATCAAATGGTAACGAAGCGCTCTCTATAACCACTCCCCCACGATTTTCATGCTCATTTTTCTTAATTTAAATGCAGATGGTTTTTACTTTTTACTTTATAATATTTTGGCGTGAGGATTCATATAATGACCTCTGTCCTAATTGGCGTGCCGTAGAGATCAAAAAAA